GTTATTTAGCTTTAATTTATGACATTCTTCTCTAGTTTATTTCTATTATGAATGAAGCATCTATGAACAGTGTTATCAAAGTCTTTTGTGGATATATGCTTATTTTGTTCCTGCCCTACTCTCCCTCTTGGCTTCTGTCTATCCTGTTTTCTTTCCTGTTTCCTTTTTCTTTTTTGTGTGAATGTGTGTGGAGGCTGGGAGATGACATAAATGCCTCCCCCAATTACTTGCCATCTTATATATTGAGGCAAAATTTCTCATCTCATCAACCTTAGCAGGCAGGTTTGGCTAGTCCACTTAGCCAGCTTACTTCAGAAACTATCTCTGCCTCCTCCTGCAATAATTCCTTCTCTGAAGACCGCTCAGCTTTTACTTCCCCATTTCATGTTGGATATACTGTTTCAATAAAAGAAAAGGCAAGGCCATTGTTTGGGAGAGTTCCAAGAGAATATTAAAGGAACAGGCTCTCAGAAGTTCATGTGTGCTCTTAGCATAAAATGGGTGCCAATAGTCAGGCTGTTTTTGTTCAGGCATAGCAGTAATGTAAAGTGTTGAAAAGTTCCAGAGGGAATTGGAGGAAGTTGTAAGGAGTATATATGACCAAGATACATGTATGAAATTTTCAAAGAATAAAAATAATTAAAATATAAAATGAAAAAAATGCTTGTGTATGTATATATGCTTTGATTTTTCTTTGATGAATACCTAGGAATGGAATTTCTGGTCAAATATTAAGAGTAACTTTTAGAAATGTGCCAATGACTTTCAATGCTATCATACAATCTTGTTTTTCATTACTAATGTATAACAGGCCCAGGTACCCCACGACGTATTTAACTATCATGAGAAATTTATTGTGGACAGTTCATTCATTAAGCTAAGCTTCTTTTAGTTACTTTATTTGATACTCATACTATCACACTAGACAAGTAAGTTATATATTCATTTCATTTCGTTTTGTGTAAATGAAAACTTATCTGCATCTCTATCAGTGTCAGCCCCACGGCAGGGTTTTGCTGGAGCCTCAGCTTCAGATTTTGGTGCAGGCTGCAGGTGCCTGAGGATCACTGTGCTCTTGCCGTGCAGAAGTAGGTGGCGGAGTCTGCAGGCTGAGAGGCTGTGATGTGCAAGGAGAGCTGCTTCTCACTTTTACTGAAGAAGACTGAGAATCGTCCATCTTCCTTTTTAGTTGTGACTTCAAGCACAGTTATCAGTAGTTCAGGGCCTTTCCCGGGGAATTGCCGGTACCACGGGAAGTAGTCAAAAGCGCTGTTCTCGTAAGTGCAGTTCAAAACTGAAGTCCTTCCTTCCTGGACTGTCAGAGATTGAGGACTTTGCTTCACTTGCTGCTGGTCACTTCTGTCCTTCTCTTGGCCACTCACCCCTGTGTAGAGAGATGATGACAATCAGCCTCAAATGTCTATTTACCGTTTAAAGTTTCTACCTGCAGCTTTTACCTTGCACCCCAGTTTTCTCATTCCTCCCCATTGATGACTATCCTCGGTGTTCTCCTCCATGACTCACAGGCTAGGTGAAGGCCTAGGATTAAAACTGATGCTTCCAGGATCTTGTCCATTTCTCCTGCAGCCAGAGCTTAGTGAGAGCCCAGATGGTCCTCTCTTCGCGGATGGAGCGCTAACTTCATCCTCGCTAGCACTTATATCAGCAAGCTCCACCCCTTTGCAAGCCCTCTGCCTTAAAGCTACTTCTGATGTGGGATACAGTTCCTACTTTTGTCCAAATTTAAAATTTCAGTGCTAACCTGCTCTTTTCTCATGCCCCCTAGAACAGTGAAAACCATACACTAGAACAACTGGGTGTATCAGTAGAAATCACCTTCTTTTACAGTGGTGCAAGAGAGGGAACTGAACAAAATCACCGGATTAGCACAGTTAGAGACATTTCACTTTTATTATATACGAGGTTTCCTGGAAAAGCATAATGGGCAATGATATTGAATTATAGGCTAAGGCCATGGATAAGAATATACAGAATACAGCTCTTTTTTTTTTTTTTTTTTTTTTTAAGCCCCAGCTAGCCTGGAACTCACTGTGTAGATCAGGCTGGCCTCAGTCTCACAGAGCTCCACCTGCCTCTGCCCTTTTTAAGGTGGGCGCCACAAGGTCTGATGAGAATATACAGTTTCATTTTGTTTTTTCTCTCCTCAAGGAACTTGAATTTTATCATGAGCTTTTTAGATACATTCATATTTTTTTACATGACTCTAAGAAATGACAAAATGAAACAATGTCAGTTCCTTTGTATATCTTGTAAGGTGGAAATCTGATGGGCTGAGTAGTTCTCAGGCTGTACTAGGAAAAAGAAAACGAAGGGCTAGGATGATCTGTTTTGGGGGAGCTTTGATCTCCAAATGAATGCGAGATGATGGAAAACACTCCACAGACTTCAGAAGACACCAGGCTACCACCATCCAGCAATGAAACATTTTTGATACTCTTATCACAGGTTTGAATAAACTTATTTTCTTCACAATTTTTATTATGGATGAAATATGTAAATAGAAAGAAAAATCATAGATTTGATGATAACAGCAACAGACACAGAGGCAGAGGTCGAGGATGAATTCAAAGCAGCCTCCAAAGCAGAGTTGACATGTGTTGGAGATAATTGGATATTGTTTCTGAAGTATAGAGAGGAGTTCTTGTGTCTGTATTTGATGTCGTCACAAATACAGACCAAGGAACGCACCATCACAGTGCAGCAGGAGACAATGATTCACATTCTCATCATTCTCATTCCTTTTCTATTTTAATATCCTAAGGGATTTTTTTAACTGCTTATTTAAATTTCATTGTGTCTTCTTCTTTGTGTACTCATTCGTTTGGATCTGTGTCCAATATGCCACCCCCTATCCTCCCAATCCCCTTATTGTGAGGGATAGTCCAAGATCCCCAGTGAATGCCTAATGTCACAAACGGTTGGTTAAACACTGTATATTTATTCTTATGCAAATATATCTGTGATAAATTTTCATGGTTTTGCTTAACAAGCAATTGACACAACAAAAATTTTAGCAGCATTTTTCTTGTTATTTGGAACAAGGAAAATAAAGATTATTGAACACAGTACTATGAACCCCAGATGGTCATTCTGATAGCAGAGACAGATTTTAAGTAACAAATGGGCAGGTAGTGTGTGCAGCATGGACATGCTGTACAAAGTGATGAGCCGTAAGCCAGGCAGCATGGGGACAGGCTGACAGGACATGTCACCCCACTAGAAAGGTATACAATTCGAAATTGATGAATTGCTTATTTCTGACTTTTCAGTGTAATGTTTTCAGACCATGATTGGTTTCAGGGACCCGAAAACTCCAGAAAGAGAGGCACAAGGAAAAGTACAGCATATTCAGTGTTTACTGAATGCATGCTGGAGGGGTAGTATCTGGGACTCATTAATGAAAGACAGTCTCATTCTTCAGCCGAACTAGTCCCCAAACTCAGGGAGAGAAGGATAAAATGCAATCAAGAGATTTCTGTGGCTCAGCACGTGACAAGGAAAGACCTCTGTTGTTGATCCAGGCAGAGAAATGTCCTGAGACAAGAGAGGTTTAAACTGGGTCCATGAGATCAGTGGAAAGGATGGTAAGGAATCTTAGGAACAGATTAAACGAACGCAGCTGGAGATCGGTTGGGAATAAAAGGGAAAATATTACAAACTTAACATGGCTCTAACCTTGAAGGGTAGCATGTATCCTTAAAGAGATCTTCCCCAATATCATATTTTCAACTCTATGAGAGTAAGATAAACGGATGAGTTAGGTGGATGGGTAGATATGCATTTGATGTTTAAAAATTGAACAGAGATAATTTACTACTGGAGTTTTAAAGGATAATCTTTGACTACTTGATGAATATGTTTGTGAACCCACAAACTGGCATGTTTAAGAGAGACAGAGCAGCATTGCCCCCGTGTGGTCATATAGAGGCTGTACTGAGTAGTTTTCTCTTCCTCCCCCTTCCTCTTCCTCCTCCCTCTCCTTCTTACCCCTCCTTCTTTCCTCGCCTCCTTCTTCTCCCCCTCCTCTCTCCCTTCCCCCTCCTCTTCTTCCTCCCCCCCCTCCTTTCTCTGCTTCTGTTCTCTTCTGCACATTCCTCTTTGAGGCAGTATCTTACTATGTAGTCCAGGCTGGCCTCAAACTTGACATCTTTCTACTTTAACCTCAGAGTACTGGGATTACAGAGCTTCCTAGAAGTTTGTGTGCAGCAATCCCAGCACCAATGAGAGCTCTCAGAAAGAGGCTGAATGTTCTTACGGACCCAAGGATTTCTTCACATGGAAGGAGATTTTGTCCTTGTTGAGGTCAGCTAAGACCTCTACTGAAGGGTGTGTAAGGTGCATCTGGAGGAATTGGTTAAGATGTTGGGCAAACCAAGAAAGATAACGCTATTTAAATGTGAAATATGTACCACATTTCTGCTAAAGTATGCAGGGGGCACCCTCCAAGACAGACCACCTCCCAGATCATACAACAGGCTCAAGAACAGGTTGGGACTTTGATGAATAGAACACACACATTAAAATCCCCTCCCCTCATCTATCTGTCATCTATGAGACTTCAATGATGTTTCCCCTTTCCTGCTGTGCTGGTATGTGGGCTGCACATAGAGCACTTCCCCCGACCCATGGAGATGTCACCAGATGTTTATTTAAGTGGAAGGACTTTCTTTGCTTTTTAGTCCCTTTACTTTTGCCTCCTGGTAAGCCAGCACCTTGCAGTAAATGTTTATTTTGATTGCGTCCTCCTCTTAGTTACTGCATTAGTTCTAAATTAGAGATTTATAGTATAAAAGCAGCAAAAAATTCAGAAGGGAAGATATGAGACCAAAAAATCCCCTGAGGGTAACACTCTGTCAATACAGAAAGAGACATAAACTGTGCAAGGCTTCTCTGGTGGCTTCCTGCCGTCTCGTGACTGGGGAAGGGCCACACCCTCCCAGCTGAAGTTTGTGTTCAGGCTGCAGGTGCCTGGGGAGCACTGTGTGTCCACGGCACAGAAGTAAGTGCCTGAGTCTGTGGTCTGGGAGGAGGAGATGTGCAGGGAGCTGCGGCGTTCCTTAGCGTCTGTCGTGGACTTTAGTCTTCCACTCTGCTTTGTTCCCGAGGGATTGTAAAACAGGCTGATGAGGCGGCCCTGGGGATTCTGGTGAAACCACTGCAGGTTGGCAGAACTGGAAAAGTTGCACTTTAGGTCACAGTTCTCTCCCTCCTGGAGAGTCAAGGCTCCAGGACTCTGCTCCACTTGCTGCCCTTTCACCCCTGATTAGAAACAGAGAAAGTCGCAGATGATGGTCATTCACTGCAGAACCCCCCCCCCCATATGCTTTAAAAAAGATGGCAATTCAGTGGATTTGTGGGCTGCTCCCCCACCCCCACCGCTTGTGCTGCAGCTGCACAATCCTCACAGATGCCCTGAATGTGGGGCAGCCCAACTCACAGCAAACCTGGGCGCACAGAAGCCCCAGCAGAGAGCCCAGCAGCCTCTTCATGATGTGGCGTGTCTGACTGAGAGATGGAACTGTGTGTAACCAAAGCCTGGGTTGTGGTGTCAGGATGGCTCTGGATCTGTCCCTGCTCCTGCAGTCAGTCAGCTCCACCCACAGACCCTGCCAGGCCAGACATGCTGAGCTCCCACAGCTTCCTGTGCCTGAAGCTCCTCCCCAGCCCAGACGTGCCTGGCAGTCTGAGAGCACAGTGGAGGGACAGGGACTTATTTTGGATGACCCTGGGGATTGAAGGAGTGTGGGGACCTGTGAGGAGTTAGAGCAGACACAGCTGTACCTACTGGAGCCTGTGAGAACCATGGACAGAGCATCCACATGCTTAAATCCAGAAACAGGTGTGTGATCAGAATAGCGGATCTTCACTGGCCTTTGAATTAATTTAGGTCAAAGCCATTCCAGTCACACAGAATAGTAAGGATGACAATGTTATGAGGTAAATACTGAATGAATTCCAATTTTGGAATTTGTAATACATGTAGGTTGGACTTTCCTGGCATAACCAAGATTTTTGGTGAATATAATTTTGAGAAATGACTCTGTAGAGGGAATGAGTGGGGAAAGATTGGTCAAAGCTACCATGCTACAATGAAAAGCGAGCAGTTTTAGTGTTACCAGTGATTACGATAATGTATTATAAGGTACAGATGGTAGGAGAAAAATTTACATTATGGTTATGTTTAACCCAATTGAAACATTACAGAATGTGTATGTGAATTGGAAACATCACATGATACCCCATTACTATGTCCGTTTCATGTTTTTACTAGAATACATATAAAGCTCAGCTTGGGGGCACATTACTGTAGTCTTGCATTCTGGAGGCTGAAGGAAGCGCTCAAATTCCAGGCCAGCCTGGGCTACCTACCTCAAAAATAACACAGCCCCAGTACATTTATCATATACAAGTAAAAGAATATTTATATATAAGCAATTACCCAAATAAGTACTAATTATGAGTGAGGAAAATGGAGCCAATTCAGACATGATTTCTGCATGCTGCCTTTGGGAGGCAGTGTGCTTGTTTTCCTAGTTTTTCTGAAATGATGAAAACTTGCTGAGGTTCCCATTTCAGCTCGGTGTTTGCTTTATGACGATCATCTTTCTCTTACCCGCTGATTTCCTTCCTCAGTAAATTTCTGCTGTGCATTTTCTCCTTCCTTCCTGCCTGCTCTCTTCGACTAGGACATGACAGAAGAAACAGTAAAGAAAATGCAGCATTAAGTGGTTTTGAAATGACGTTTATTCTGTGAAATGAAGTTCAGAGTTTCTCTGATGTATCAAAGTTTTAGACAATACAAATGAAAAGTCAGGAAAAGCCCGGACTTCCAGCCTTTGTGATTCTCCATCTGTTTTGCTTTACAGTATTCACTGAACAGGGAATATTTTGTAAGAAATACAGATAATGATGCAGATAGTTATCATGTTGACAATGTGCATTTCGATGTATGTATTAAAGCTATAAACTTAGAGGATTTAAATAAGGTGTAAAAATTATAATTCAGTAACTGATCTTGTTTTAGAAATTAGAGCCATTAATTGAAGGACTACTCAACAGAAGCACACAAGCAAAGAAACCCAAAAGCCACGTCTTCTGTCTTAATGATTTTGTTCTCATACAGTCTCTTCTCTTTTATATCTTTAACTTGCATTTCAAAATTCAATTTATCAAATCTTAAAAATTTGATATTTATTTATTTATTTTTATTTTATATGTATGAGTGTTGTACCTGCATGTGTGTAAGTGCACTGTATGCATGCAATGCCTGTGGAGGCCAGAGAGGGCATTGAATGAACTGAAACTGGAGTTGAGGGAGGTTGTTAGCTGCCATGTGGTTGTTGGGAGCTGAACCTGGGTCATCTCCAAGAGCAGCTAACGTTCTTAACTGCTTAGCCATCTCTTCAAGCCCTGGATTTCTTAAATTGTTGAACAACTCCTTACCCCTTGCTGACTCCTTAGGAGAGCATCTCGGTTTAGGAACCAAGAGCCTCCTGGAAATCTAACACCCTAAGGAAGGATGCTCCTCCCTCAACAGACGTGGAATGCTCACTCCTGCTGGGGACCTTTTCCAGGATGAAATCAATTTGAAGAAAAGGAGTCTATAAGCTAGGGAGTTGTGTGATTGGGATGCCAAGTTCCTGTATGTCTTTTGTCTGTAAGTGAGTACTTTTAATGTAGTGAGACAAAAACGACCATTTTGGTTCTTACCTATGAACTAAAAAAAAAAAAAAAAAGATGAGATCTGTATCTGTAGTAAGCACGACGGTCCAATCCAGTTCAGTCAGTATATTTAAGCACGGTCCAATCCAGTTCAGTCAGTATATTTAAGCACGACGGTCCAATCCAGTTCAGTCAGTATATTTAAGCATGACGGTCCAATCCAGTTCAGTCAGTATATTTAAGCGTGTTGTAGATCTGGAGAAACACAAAATGAATGAGACACTATTACCACCCTTTGGGAGCTTGTGATATTGTGGGGAGGACAAATCTTTGTGTAAATTCAATGCAGATTTATAGGATAATAAAGGCTACAAACGCCACACCAGCACCAGATGGAGCTATCACTTCTACTACATCAATTACATGTCACGACTCAGGAACTCACCTATCAATGTGTGACAGGGTGCTGTATGCCTTCTGTGGAGGTGACAAGAGTATATAGTCACAAAACAAAGTTGGTGGTCTCCTGAACAGTGATTTTTTTTTTGCTTAAGTACAATGAACAGAAGATAAGCAATATATGAATAATACCATTTTTGGACTTTGGTAAGAGGGCTTGAGGATTATAACTACTCTACAGACACCTTCAAGGTGCAAGGAAAAATGCTCCTCTGCATACCAAGATACCAAGTGCTTGTTCTTAAAACTGAATTTGCACATCAGGAACTTTGGGGAGTTGTACTGACTCACAGTAGACCCAGACTTTGAATTTGGGTGAAAGAAAAGTTAAGTGGGGGGGGGGGTTCTAGCATCCGGAAGCATCATTTTCCACTGGTTCCGAGGATGTAACTTCTTGCAACTCTTCTGTGCATATTTGTGGTTCAGAAAGGTGCTCATAACTCAGAACAGTGTTCACAACAGCTGCTCATGATTGCTGTCATCCTGTACAGTGCTATGCAGTCACTGTTAAATTGTATGCTTTTATCCATTGACTAAGCCTGCATGAAGAGTGATACTATGGGGCAAGGTGGTGCATGTTTGGGATACCAGCACTTGAAAGGCCGAGGCAGGTGGACCGCAACAAGTTCAGGCCACTTTGGGCCACGTAGTGAGTTCAAGATTAGCCTATGCCACATAGGGAGATCGGGTCTCCAAAAATATGATATTGATTATACATTTCAACAAAGACACTAATGAGAATTATGACTATAGATTATAAAATTTTCAATTCTGATTAAATTTTATTTAAAATGTTAATAGTTTGCTATTGCAATGTTGTCTTCAGTTTCAATATAAACTTCTAAATATTTTTAAAGAAAAAAAATATCAGTCTTGGAAGTCTACATGAAAAAACTTTGCTCAGTGGGTAAGAGAATTTGGTGTGAAATCAAGAGTGCTTGGGTTCAAACCCCACCCATGTAAAAACTGGGCATGGCCTCAGCAGTAGGGAACAGAGACAGGGTGGGTCTCAGGAACTTGCTGGCCAGCCAGCTTATCCTGAATGGCAAGCTTCAGGTCCAGTGAAAGACTCTGTCTAAAAGAGTATGAAGGAGTAGCAGAGGAAGATACCTGGCATCCTGCTGCTCTCCACCTGTGGGTTCGCACTGAAACACACACGTGTACACACAGTTTTTGTGTTCTTGACCTAGACACCAATGACAATCCCTTGTAGATGGAGTAGGAGATAAGGGGAATAGGAAATTCGGCTCTTCCATCTGTTTTAACTAAGGTAGAAAAATGAAGTTATCTTCAAAGACTAAAGATCAGATGAGCTGTTGAAGAATGCTCCAAATTCTTGATACCGGCACTGTGAGAAATGGGGTAGGAAATACAGGACCATCAGTTGTTAGGTACTCAGTAGAAATTAGGAAAATTCAACTTAAAGGGAGAAAAAGGGACTGGGGATATAACACAGTGATATATACTTAGAACATGTAATCCCCAGGGGCCAATCCACAGCACCACCCAAATGCTGTGATAAGGGAAAAGAGGAGCGAGGTAGCCTGTGTGGGTGCAGCAAAGACAGAGCAGACCATTCATAAACCAATCAACCCCAGGTTCCATGGGGAACAGAAGAGAGATTTATTCTTAATTATGAATGTCTGTTGCTTAAGCTCACTGGATAATGGTCTGGTCTTTTTAACTCTTGAGTACATTTTTAGAAAGATGGCCTTTTATAGAATTTTAAATGAAGCATTAACCAAGTCCCCCAGCCTCGTGGAGTTTAGGGAGGAAACTGAAGTCCTCTATCAAAAGACTTCAAATAACTAAAGTCAAGAGACTGGATATAAAATAATGTGGAGAGCCAGGCGTGGTGGTACATGCCTCTAATCCCAGCACTCCAGAGGCAGAGGAAGGAGGATCTCTATGAGTTCAAGGCCAGCCTGGTTCACATAGTGAGTTCCAGGACAGCTTGGGCTACAGGGAGACCCTGTCTCAAAAAGACAAAAAAAAAAAAAAAAAAAAAAAACGTGGAGAAAATGGCACTAAACAGTGGGGTGGATCCAATCCTCAGTGTACATTGGAAGGTGTTGGTAAAGAAGCATCAGACAGTAGATTTCTCTTTCTTGGGGGATTCCCAGGAACAGAAACTGGTGAGTAGCAGACATCAATTCTGGTGGGCTCTGAGATTAAGGAGGAATGGCAGGAGATTTAGATGTTGTGTTTCAGAATATTGAAGAGACTCTCTGGAAGAGACACACTTTTTTGACAATCTATCTGCTTCTGGTTTGAGGTTCTTTATGTCACTGTCTACAACATGCTTACTCAGAACTCCTTAAGCAGTAGCAAAGGTTTCTGTGAGTTTATTCCAATCTGCAGGAAAGCCATTTCCTCTTTAGGAACAGTACCCTCTGGGGGCCATAATAGAGAAATAAGGGCAAGTGAACAGTTTTGATGAATGCTTAACATCCTTTCAGGCCTTCCCAGGGTAGAATTTCAAAGCTTTACGATCACACAGAAAGGGGTTTATGGTTTGTAAGGAATTCAAATTATAA